GGGGCCGCGCCGGGGCGGGGGGGTCGGGGGGGGTCGTGTCTCCTTCACTCCGGGCTGGGATGGGGACGCCTCGGGCCTGCCGGGTGACCCGGCAGACACTGGCGGTTACCGACACAAACCTGGCTTTGCTTCTCTTCGCTCTCGCGTCTCTCGTGCTTGGTAGTCGCTCAGGTTCTCACTAACCGCCCTCCTAGTGAGCGCTGTCGTAAGATCGCTTTGGTGATCGGTTATGCGGGCGGGAGTGATACAAGCCCTGTGTTTCTTCTCTCCTGGAGCTTTTAGGCGGTTTGGCATGTTAATCGCTACACGGAGAATGCCTTGGTCTGCTTGGGTAACAAGTAACTACGTTAAACACTGCTAATACGTGTACCAATGTGGGCAGAAGTCTACAAAATTGTCTCTGGGTATTACTACTTTATAGATAATTCTTTAGTATCTAAGGTATGCATGCATGTGTATCTAAAGCAAAAAAACCCCTGTTTTTAATGGTTTTTTGCATCTGAAATTCAACTGTGTGCTTGTAAGTATATACAACTGCTTTTAGAGAACAGCTCTCTATCTGGCTGCTTAGGGGCAGGATATACACCACCTTACATTTGTTTTCCAAGATGTATTTTTGTGTTTTTTTAGACATTTCAACAATGAATTTCACTGTTGAATTTTGCTGTGGTGGTGTTGATTTCACAAGCTGGTATAAATTCTGAAATAAAATAGGTTTCTAGTATTGTTAAAGACTTGAAACACAAGAGAAAAAATAAGTTCTACTTTGATAGATCCTCAACAGCTGTGAGGGCCTAGCTCTCAGCTGGAGCCAGCACAGTTAGGAGTAGGTATTTCCATGCAGTTCTGACATTGAGCTTGGTATTATATTCCATTAGTAATTTAGAACTCTTCTAAATGAGGATTAATTCTCAGTTTATTGTGTGACTCTTGTATGTTGCTTTTTGTAAGAATAACAACTTGGCTTCAGTAACTTTGTTAGTTCATGCTCAGTATGCAAATAAGATACAAGTCCAAGTAGTTAAGAGTACTTCCCAAAGATGGCTAGAACAGCTGTGATGAGCTGGCCACGTTTCAATAGTCTTGAGTGAGATGAGTTTTCTGAGAGAGAAACATTATTAGCACCTTCACAGCAATGAAATATGTGTTTGAAGAAAGGCTTTTCAGCAGCAAATCACAAATGCAAATGTCAGTCTGCAAAATGTGTGTGTGCCTGGATACTGTGACCTGAAGCCAGAATTCTGCAGGGGAATCTACATGTGAAACTTGCTGCATGCAACAAGCCAGAACTTAGTTCTGGAGTCTGGGAATCATGGTTGATCCACTCTGAATGTGGTGGCTATTTCATGCATTTATAAAAGCCCCTCCTTTGAAGTTTACTTTTCTTTTCTTAATTTAACTGCAAGTTTTCATTGTAAAAGTGAAGCAGTTTAATTTGTGTATGATGGAGAACATATATATGGGTATGCCTGCTTTCCTCTGTCTCTTCCCACCCTGAATGTTACATCTATGGTAAGTGATGGTGCAGTAACTTTCATTCATTTAATTCACATGAGTTTGTCTTTAACCCAAATAACAAAGAGCTGTCCTTGAGTGTGTACTTATGTAACAGTTGAAACTTTGAAGGTTAATTTTACTTTATCTTTTCTGACTAGATTTTGAAGATCTCTTTGATGATGATGACATCCAGTGAACTTTCTTGTCGAGCTGTGCAGTGTGGGATGCAGATTTGTCTCTAGGATCACCTGTGATGTCCCCATTATTTATTAAAATAATTAAACCAGGAAAATTACAGAGGGTGGGAAAAGCCTGTATAAGCTGCTTGGAGAATATGAAAACCAGATGGTTAAAGATAACTAAGGAAGGAATTCTGGACTGTTATTTCTAGGAAGCTGTGTGTAGGTGTATCTTAATTTTACTTGCTGATGTGCTCATTCAATAAAATACTAACAAAAACTCTCTCTGGGACATTCTTTGAATGTAGATATTGCTGTGTTCCAAGCTGCCTCTGAGAATGACTTTTTTATTAAATCATTCACTGTTACTTTTGGATATGATATAAAGGTACGCAGCAGGGCATATTGCTGCCTGGAAGTTTTTTAATCCCACAGCATAGGTCTATCTAGGGCTAAGGTGGTGGGTTTTTCTGAATAGTCTGTCATTTGCCAGCTGCACTAAGAAGATTGTGTGTTGTCTTCTGTTTCAAGATAGATAATCAGCAACCATCAGTACTTCAAATCTAGGAAGCAAAGGAATAAAAGTAGTAATTTTATCTTAATGTTTTAAAGCAGAAAAACATTTTGGCCATAGGAATGCTTGTATTTAAAAATCTCATTTCATTCTTGAAATGGTACTGTGTAGAAAGAATATACTTTCAGGATTCTTTTCTCCTCCAGCAGGTAATTAATTATTCATACTTATATGTGTTGTGTATATGAATCAGTCTACTAGGTATTTATTTGGTTTTTGACACAAGTTTTCACAACATTTTTGGAAGCGTTTGATTTTGCACCCTTCAGTGACCAAAGTTAATCTCTGAAGGAAAAGAACAGGTGAGTTTTTATTATGTTACTTCAGAGTCAAGAGTTTAATGCTATCTAATCTGAAGTGCAGTCAGTATTCCATAAATTGATCACAAAAAATGCACTGATCTTTCTTTAAAGATTTCACACTACTGAAACTTTACCTGGAGAGAAACCCTTTCTTCTCATACTTCCTTCACCTGTTTTTCTTTGTTGGGTTTGCCTTAAAAAAGGAAATCTTGAGTGTGACAGTAACTGTGCTGGCCCCTGAGCCTGAAAGTGTGAAGCCCACTAGGACTTTGTTGTCTTTCTACTGTGTTCCTGAGGATTTCTCAGCATCCTCTGTATGTTCAGTCAGCATTGTGGCCTTTGCTCTGTGTCGTGTCTGACTTCTCAAGGTGTCCCTGCAGGAGCAGCCTGGCTGGGCTGCCTCCTTTCCCTGCCGTGCTCAGCGGGGCTGCCCCGCTCACATTCCCAGCGGCGGCAGCTGCGCTGGCCCGTTTCCTCCCTCCGGGTGTGAAGGGGGAGAAGCTGCGTTCTGGGCAGGGCAAATGGCGAAGCTTAGATTTAAGAAACCACCTGGCCCTGAGGTGGTGGGCGGGAGCGAGGAAGAGGGAGAGAGTTCGGGGGCTTTATCCCGAGCCCCGCGGGCCCGGCCACCCGCCCCGCGCCTCAGGCTTCCCGCCAAACTAACCCGTGGAATGCCGGCCCCGGGAGCCCGCACCGGGGTACAAAGCCAGCGCGGACAGTTGTTCTTCAGTATGAACTGCTACAAACCTGATACCTGGTGCGAGCTCGTTCTCTTGGGATGAAGGGAAATGCAGGTTCTTCAGCGCTGGGACAGGGTGGCAGCCAAGGTAGGTGTTGTTGCTGTCTGAAATGTCTCCTCTTTGCCGTGAGACTGAGTGAGGGGTGTGTGTGGAACTTCATCTTCCTGAGGAGAGATGTCAACGTGTAAGGACTTTCATCAGGAGCTTTAATTTGTTTGGGTCCCTTTTGGGACAGTATTAATACAGAAAGGCTAATCTGAGGAATGAAATGCCCTTCAGCTTCAAATGTTTTTTTTCTGTTGCCATTTGTCAAGACTTCCAGTCTAATCAGTCTGCAGGCAGTCAGCCTGTTGTCAGGAAATAAT